AGGATTACCAAGATGGTAGAAAGGTGGAGATGTAGCCCACGGAGGAATGGTTAAAGGGTCTGAGAAAAAAACAATGGGAAATACAATATTAGTCTTCAGTTATCTGAAAGGTTCTCACCCAGAAGAGGGAGGAGATCCATTCTCTGTTGCTCCAGGGAGCAGGCCTGAAACCAGTGGACTAAAATTAAGAGGAAGGAATTTTTGGCTAGATGTCTAGAGCAGTGGTTCTCGACCTTTTTAATGCTGCGACCCCCAGCTGGTCGTAAGTCGAGGACTACTCAACCGGTCGTAAGTCGAGGACTACTCAAGTGGTGCAGCACCAGTTTGCAGAATGGGACTTTTGGCGGGCTCAGCAGGGCAGAGACACCCTGGACAATTCCTATTGGCTTTTGAAAGCCAATAGAATTAGACTCTATTCAAGAGAGTCTATTCTATTGGCTTTCAAAAGCCAATAGAATAAAAGGGAGTAGCACAGCTAAGGAAAAGGAGAAAAAAAATGGTGGATTGCGTTGTTTGGCGACCCCCGTGAAATGGTCGTTCGACCCCAAATGGGGTCCCGACCCACAGGTTGAGAACCACTGGTCTAGAGGAACTTTCTGACTGTATAAGCTGTCAGCCGGTGGAACAGCCTGCCACATGACATCATGAGCTCTCCTTTGCTAGAGCTGGATGAAGCTGGATGCTCACATGTCAGAGATGCTGTAGTGCAGCCAAGGTTGCCTACCCCTGACCTAGGAATTTGAAGTGGGAGGGGGCAGATTGAAACAGGCTTAGTTTTCAGTGGTTATAGCTGCTAGGTGGGGTGGGAGAAACTCTGAAAATCTGCAGGTCTGGGGTAATTTTAAATCTCTGTTCAACATACCTGACGCAAAGGTAATGCATTTCCATGTTCATAGAAGCACAGTGTGTTTCCCCTGCTAAGAAAAGCTAGTTTTGTTAGCATTAAAACTTCTACTCTGTTTTTTTTTTAAAAAAAAAAAAGTCAAAAATATAAAATTTAAAAGTCAGGATTTTTTCCCTCTATGCTGTATTGTTTTTAAATTTGTTGTTCATTAAGTTTAAGCTTTAAAGCCTTATTTAAAAAAAACTTCTAAAAATCTTTTAACTGTTGCTCTGACTATTTCCCCCCTCTTTTCTTGCAAGCAAGTTACAATATCTCATAAACCCATTCAGCCTTGGGAATTTTTCTTTAGGTGCTTTTGATTCAGCCTGCTGAAGTGTGTGACTGACAGTGAAAGGAAGTGTGGCAAGCAAAGGGTTAAGGTCTGCCATTTTGTTATGTAACACCCTTAATGGACATATCAGTGAATGGCATGAAGATGGCAGGACTTAACCCTTTACACGCTGCAGCCAAGGCCTTTCAGTCAGCCAAGCCTGGGAATTGTTGGGCAACTGAGAGGTGTTTTTTTTTTTATTTCCAAGAAAAAACTTCGGATTTTTTTTTCTTTCAAAAGCTGCACATCCTTATCTCCACCCCTTTTTCATCTATTACTATTATTATTATTAAGTTTTGTTTGGGTAAGTGAAATTAAATTTTATTTTAAAGTTTAATTTCAAAATATTTTAAAAATCAGACTGGTAGTAACAGGCATCCATAAATCAATGGAAAAGATTTTTAACAAAGGTTTTGGGAAGGGAGCAGTAACTTTTAAATAGGCTAATGCCAGAATCACAATGTTTAGGAAAGCAAGGATATAAATGAGTTGAAGGGAGAAAATAAATAAGCTTTTAAGTACTACAGTACTTCTGCAGTTTATCAGCAGTTTGAGATGTGAAAGAATACTTAGGATTTTAGTAAGCTGAGGGTTTTCTAATCTGAATTATAGGCAATTGAAAGTTTTATTTTAGAGATTGCCCTTATCGCAAAGCAAGTTTTAAATTGTATTCCCTTAGTACTTCTTTGCTTGTTTGTATTCCATCCTGACTAATAAGAATATTAGTCACTTTCGGCTGTCCAGCCTTTAGCTCATTTGAGAAATTTTTTTGAATATCCATGAGGATTCAAGATGCCATTTGTGGATGTCCATTTGTCTGAGGTGGTGCGAGAAGTCCTGCCTTGGGCAGGGGGCTGGACTAGAAGACCTCCAAGATCCTTTCCAACCCTACAGACTTTTTATGGCAATTCAGAAGATCCTTCCCAGCCCTATGAATCTGTGATTCTGTACCAACTTTTTGTGGCAATTCAGAAGTGTATATATTTTGTTTTTTAAGTTTTCAAGTTTAAAAAAGCTAATTACACACATTACACACACACAGAGTGTCTGTACGTGTAGGTAAGTAGGCAGGTAGGTAGGTAAGTCTTTGACTTACGACCACCATTGGGACCAGCAAGGTGGTTCTTAAGTGAGTCGTGTCTGATATGATTTTGTTGCCCTGTTGTTAAGTGAGTCACTGCAGTTGCTAAGTGAATCATGCAGTTGTTAAGCAAAGACGCCATGTCCCGATTGTTTGTCAGAAGCCAGCTGGGAAGGTCACAAGGGTTGATCACAGGATCCTGGGACGTTGCATATGCATATGTCATAAACACGTGCCAGTTGACAAGCACCCGAATTTGGTTCATGTGACTGTGGGGATGCTGCCACAAGCATAAGTGCAAGGACTGAATATAAGTCATTTTTTCAGTGCCACTGTAACTTCAAACGATCACTAAACGAGTGGCTGATAGTCAAAGGCTATTATTGTTTATCATATCCTTTCCCTTCAAGAAACCTTATCTCTGCTCCCATGTGTACAATATATAAGGACCACAGCCCAGTGGGAACACTGCACACGGTTCGAAAGAAGAAACCCCAGGTGCATTCTCCAGTGAAAAAGGTTTCTTGTAGCCCATTGTAAGCAACTTTCATCTTTGTTCAGCTCCCATGCGCCCTCCTCCTCCAGCCCCTAATTCCTCTCATTGCTGTTAGGTGCAAATCTCTTCATAATGTAGGGCTGGACGTGGAGAGGTTAGAATAGAATAGAAGCTGGAAGGGACCTTGGAGGTCTTCTAGTCCATCCCCCTGCTCAAGCAGGAGAACCTACACCGTCTCAGACAGGTGAATGTCTAGTCTCCTCTTAAAAATCTCCAGTGATGGAACGCCCATGATTTCTGGGGGTAAGCTGTTCCACTGGTTGATTGTCCTCATTGTCAGGAAGTTTCTCCTTAATTCCAGGTTGCTTCTCTCTTTGATCAGTTTCCAATCATTGTTTCTCATCCTTCCCTCTGGTGCTTTGGTGAATAACCTGACCCCCTCTGTCTTGTGGCAGCCCCTCAGAGACTGGAACACTGCTATCATGTCACCCCTATTTCTTCTTTTCTTTAGATTAGCCAAACTCAAGTCCCGCAGCTGTTCTTCGTATGTTTTGGTCTCCAGGCCTTTGATCATGTTAGTTGCTCTTTGAATTTTTTCCAAACTGGTGACCAAAATTGGCTGCAGTATTCCAGGTGTGGTCTTACTAAGGTTTTATAAAGCGGTACTTGATTCTATGCCTCTGTTTATACAACCCATGATTGTATTAGCTTTTTTGGTTGCTGCTGCACACTGCTGGCTCATAATCAAGTGATTGTCTACTAGGACTCCAAGGTCCCTCTCACAGTTGCTGTTTTTTAAGCCAGGTCTTGCCCAATCTGTCTTTGTGCCTTTGGTTTTTCCTGCCTAAACGTAAGACTTCGCTTTTCTCCACATTGAAACTCATTTTGTTGGATAGGGCCCATTGTTCAAGTTGGTCAAGATCTTTTTGGATCCTGAGTTTATCTTCTGGGGTGTTGGCTACTCCTGCCAGTTTGGTGTCATCTGCGAATTTCCAAGTCCCAAGTGCTGGACTTGGAACAAGGAGATCCAGACTCTAGCTCCCTTCAGCCCCAGAAGCTCATTGGCTGATTTTCGGCCAATCCCTCCCGTCTCAGCCCAAGAATCAACCAAATAGTGGGAAGATGCTAGATTAGGGCAGAGAGACCCCAGTTTTAGTCCCCCTCTGCCACAGAATCAGCTGGTCAAACAGGCTGACTTCATATAAGATCAAAGGTGGAGGGTTGGCATCTCTCCCTGAGTGATTAGGGAGAGACAGATAGACAGAAGCAAACAAGCGTCTCTTCTTTCAGCTCATCCTATCTCATGAGCTAGGAAAAACAGGAGGGAACATTACTGGACTGTTGCATAAAAAGTGGAATATAAATCTATAAGTAAAGAGTATACTGTATGGCTACTTCCTGAGGAGAACTGTGTATCCAACATTAGGTGGGTATTTTCCACACCTGTGTAGCCTTCAGATATGCGAGGCTGCAGTTCCCAACAAGCCCACCTAGATGCATTTCCACAAGTACAAAAGCAGGATAAAATTGATTATTTGAAAACATAAGAGCAAAACAAATACAGTACTGGAAAGAATATCTTTGCCCATGGTCATTGTTGAAAGGTCACATTGTTTGTTTGGGTGTATAAGCTGTTAATTACTCATTCCCAGGGTGGCACCAGAGATGGCCTAATTCACTTCTTGGCAATTATTTCATCTGGAAAAAAAAAATCAGGATAGCAGGGGATGGGGGTGGGGGGAACCTATTAGGAGAAAATCTGAAAATTCTGAGTCCTGTGGACAAAGAATGGTGAGATGGCACATAACACAATATTTTATAATTTTAAAAAATGATACCTTCTTCCATATCAGTTTCAAGCAATATCCTTGTTACTTGAATGCAGACAATTGATGAAAATCTGTGGGATAAATCAAGATTTATGGGGTCCTTGGTCCTTTCTGAGCTTGGTTGTTTTCTTGCAGACATTGCATTACCTAGCTAGGTAACATCATCAGTGGAGAGAGCACCAAGGACCCCTGATTTCAACCTTGAGCTACAAATATTCTCCTTTAAATGAAGATTTCTTTAACCAGACAACTAACCTTTCTTTTGACACAGTGATGTAGTCTACGCTGGGAAACCTGGGTGTATGCCTGATTCTTCTCTTGTACCTTAAAATGGAATTCATTTCTACTTTTATGTTTTCTTCCTATAACTTTCCCTACAGTGGCGAAAGAAAGCAGTAATTGCCCAACCAGGTCCCTTCTCTCTGCCTGTCTTCAAGCAGGAGGTGGTTCAGTCAATATGTGATAAAATTCTGTCACAAGACACCCATGTTGGAAAAGACACTGCCTGACTTATCCCAGGTTGGTCTTCTTTTCTTTAAGGGAGAGGGATGGTCCTAAACAGATTCAGGGGTTGCCAATATGGCAAATATGGCTTTCCAGTCTTGAAGCACAGAGAATAAGCGGTCTCCGATAGGTTGTTTCTATGCATTAATTTATAAGGCAAGAAAATAGTAAAATGCTAAAAGTAGTCTTGAAAAAAATATGTCTAAATCTCAGTCTGGTTTCCTGCGGTGAATTGAAATTTCTCTCCCAGTAACTTGGTGAAAATTTTATCAAGGCTGTATAGCTCTTTCCATCCTAATCCATACAAAAATAACCAGAATTTATGTAAATTGCCTAATTATGAACTAATGCTATTTTAAGATAGGCAAATCAACAAACAAAAATGGGTATTACCTGGAGTACTACCTATGTGTCAAGTTGAGAAAAACATTTGATGTCCTCTGTGTTTGGGTTGAGAGGACAACCATTTGTCCGAAATGGTGTAGGGCAGTGGTTCTCAACCTTTTTAATGCCGTGACCCCCAACCGGTCGTAAGTTGAGGACTACTCAACCGGTCGTAAGTCGAGGACTACTCAACTGGTGCAGCACCGTTTGCAGAATGGGACTTTTGGCGGGCTAAGCAGGGCAGAGACAGCCTGGACATTCCTATTGGCTTTTGAAAGCCAAGAGAATTAGACTCTATTCAAGAGAGTCTATTCTATTGGCTTTCAAAAGCCAATAGAATAAAAGGGAGTAGCACAGCTAAGGAAAAGGGGGAAAAAAATGGCGGACTGCGTTGTTTGGCGACCCCCGTGAAATGGGCGTTTGACCCCAAATGGGGTCCCAACCCACAGGTTGAGAACCACTGGTGTAGGGTTTCCTGCCTGAGCAAGGGGTTGGACTCGATGACCTCCAAGGTTCCTTCCAACATCATCATCATCATCATCATCATCATTATTATTATTATTATTATTATTATTATTATTATTATTAACATAGTTCAGTGGTGGCGAACCTATGGCACGGGTACCAGAGGCGGCACTCAAGAGTCCTCTCTGTGGGCACGTGCACCATCGCCCCAGTCCTAGGCCTTCAGCTGGGTTTTATAAAACCTTTTCACTTTAGGCCTCCGCCACCGTGCACAAAAAAAAAAAAGGTTCAATCAATCAGTCAATTTCAACTTCTCACGGGGGGAAAAAAAAAGATCTTGCAAAGTTGGAATTGATTGAACTTTTTAGTCCCACCCAGTCTGCTGTTACCACTGCAGCCACGCCCACCCAATGGGCCACACCCACCCAGCACCCGACAATGCATAAATGGGTTTTGGGTTGCAGTTTGGGCACTTGGTCTCTAAAAGGTTCGCCATCACTGACATAGTTGGAAGAGACCTTGGAGGTCATATAGTCCAACCCCCTGCTCGACCAAGATTTCCTGGGCTGACTAGAGAAGATAACCAAGCAAAAACTGAACAGTTTCCCAGTATCACAAATGTGTCTTTTTGCACATATGTTTGTGTTGCAAGTGGGCTACTAACTTCCATGAAGTCACATACAACGTGAGTCAAAAACCTTAAGGTTTGCATTCACCACAGTCCAGTCTTTTGCAATGAATGATATCAACAAGTGGTAATGAATTAGAAGAAGTGGTAGCAGGAAGCTTTCTGGCTTGTGCTGACGAATATTCTGGCCCACGCAGAGCAGTCTTCCCCAAGCTGAGCTTCAGTACAGGTAATCCTTGACTTATAAACCTTTGTTTAGTGATGGTTTGAACTTAACAATGGAACTGGGAAAAAGTGATTTTTGCGACCATTTTTCACACTTATGACTGTTGCGGCGGCCCAATAGTCAGGTGATCATAATGTAGCCGCTTGGCAACTGGCTCATATTGATGATGGTTGCAACATCCCAGGGAAAGGCGAGGCATTTGCAGGTGGTATATACAAATTACTGTAATAAGGAAATAACTCTTCTAAGAGATGAGGGCAATAGCCTGCTGGTTTTATTATGGCTCGTGAGTAGCGTTCCTGTATGAAAACTCTCTTTGCCCCAAGATGGATGTGGGCTAAGACTGTGAAAACAGCATTAAATTGGGATGAAGCTTTCCCTTTGCTTTTGATTCTAGTGCAGGGATAGGCAACCTTAGCTCTTTTATGATTTGTGGACTTCAACTCCCAGAATTCCTGAGCCGGCCATGCTGAGGGGAAAGGGAGAGGTTTCCAAGCTGAGCCATGCTGGCTCAGGAATTCTGGGAGTTGAAGTCCACGAGTCATAAAAGAGGCAAGGTTGCCCTCCCCTGCTCTAGTGTAATGGGAGCTGGTGGAACAGCTGAGATGTATGAGGTGAAAACTTTGATAGGGCGCCATTGTTGGCTACATAGAGATTTAAAAGGATCCTTTGCTAGGGTAGAGGGAGAATCAGTAGTTAGGAGCTATTTGCAATCTTTTTCTTGTTCGGAAAAGGCCCTTCATTTCATACTCTGGGCAAAATACACCTATTTTTTTAAAAAAAAATTGTTTGATTTGCTAGCTAGGAGTTCAGGAAGAATTGGATCCCTGTTGAGCCATCCTTAACTTTGTTCTGAATTTTATTTGTTGTTCCCATGCTCTCTTATCTTCAGTTTGCCTGTGAGTAACTTCTGTTGGGATCTTGAGTTTTTGCTCTTGTTCTCCCTACATCCAAGCATTTCCCAGGCATCCTAAGTTGCAAATTTATTTATGCAAAATGAGAACGAGGCACCATAACTTGGGAGGTAACACTCTGACACTCAGCTTTTCCCCATCTCTAAGTAGGGCTGGGAGATTCTGGACGAGGCAGTCAGACAATGACTGGGTGGTTCAATTATGCTAATTACCATATGGAGGGTTTTTTTTGTTTTTTATTTTTGTTCAGCATCTGTGATCTGTGGCTTATTTAATAAATTGTGGTTGAAATAAGCTGTTGGTTAGCATAGGGGTCCCCTACCTTTTTGCCGTGATGGACACATCTGGAGGTGAATGTTGTGGGCAATCTCACAAAATTATTAGAGATAACCAGAGAACCTAACTTGCCCAAAGGTAAATAAAACATTTGGGTGTATCTGCCCACCAGAATATTGTTAACAAATATTACCACGGTCAACATGGGTCTGGAAGCATTGCTTGAAATACAAGTTATGCATGAAGCGGTTGATTTCCTTTACAGTATGTTTCTTTTTTAATTAAGATAATCTTAAGAAGAGATTGGACAGCAATTGGTCTGAAATGGTATAGGGTTTCCTGCCTGAGCAGGGGGTTGGACTAGAAGACCTCCAAGGTCCCTTCCAACTCTGTTATTCTGCTAAAAATACAATTGGGGTAGGATGTCGGGGGAGTATGAAGACATAGACCAGGGGATCTTCAAACTTGGCCCTTTTATGACTTGTGGATTTCAACTCCCAGAATTCTTCAGCCAGGCACACTGACTGAGGAATTCTGGGAGTTGAAGTCTACAAGTCATAAATAGGCCAAGTTTGAAGACCCCTGACATAGACTGTGTGCTCAGGCTCTCATGCCCTACATCTAGTTTGAATTACTGCAATGGAAACTACAATTGGTATAGCAGTCCAGATAAATCAGTCTATTAGGAATTGGTACCAGTTGTTTTCCAACTGCCCTTCACCCTGGCCATTTGCCTGCAAAGCCCAATCCAGTCAAAATTGACTGGCAGCTGGTTTCAGACAGGTACGATTCTTCTCAAATGTTTCCAGAAATATAGCGGCGCAGACAGTTCTGGAGACCCCTTGCTTCTGGCTCCCATTCAGGGTGTTGTTATCATCTTTAAAGCCCTTCATGACATGGAACCAGGTTCTCTGAGGAGCCAGTTCAGCCCAGTGGGATTGGGCCGCCCAACTCCCTTCAGCAGAAAGGGCTTGTTATGTTGTTGTGTCTTTCTGTCACATTGGGGATCCAAAGAATATTGTAGTGCAGGGGTGTCCCAACTAAAAAGCAGTATAATGTCCCTTCCTACGAAGCAGATCATAAGAGACTCTTGTGACCGTGTTACGGTTTGTGCACCTTGTTCCCCATGAATAGCTTACGCCATAATTTGGAGAATAGAATTAGAGAAATGTAGGCTTCCCTTGCATATTTTAGAAATACATCCTCAGAAAGTCCCAATTGTCAATGGGCAGCAGAGACTTTCTGTATTGTGTGTATATCACAATCTGAAACCTTCAAAAGCCCTCAAAATACATTGGCTCCAAACCCAGAGATTCCCCCCAGCTGCTTTGGCTGAACTGTTGCGGATCAGAAAAGAAATAATGATTTTGTTTCAGCAGGTTATGGTGGAGGTGTTTTTTGGGGAGGGGGCGATGTGTAGAATTTGAAGAGATCGAGGACTCTCACGGAGTGAAAACTCAAAAAATTGAAATGTCTTGAAACTAAAAGCCACTTGCCTTCTTCCCTTTGGAGTGTTTGAAATGTCCTCTTTTACTTTGCAAGGCTTTTTAAAAATTATTTCTTCTCCCTCTCTTTAGTTTTTCTCGTAGTTGCATTGAGAAAGTTACACTCCCTTCGCCAACTATTTTTTTTCCTCCCCATAGTCTCGCTGTCCTGTCTTTTTCCCTGCTCCCCCTCTTCCCTCCTTCTAATTCTGAGTCGGACCTTCTTTTCTCTTTTTTGGCTTACTTTTATTTATTTATTCATCTGTTTGTTTGTTTATTTATTTATTTTTAAAGTATTTTCCCCCAAGTGGCTTTTCCTGGCCAAGTGGTGGCCGGGCAGCCATTGCTGCGCTGGTGTCAAGCACGCTGCCCCTTTAAGAGGAGCAGAGGGGATGGTCCCCGGGACTTCTGTTGTGGAATGCCAGCTGCAGCAGATGCCGCAGCAGCAGCAGCAGCACGCCAAGCACTGCAAGATGGTGTCTCTGCTAGGGTTAACGACACTTAGCTTGTTGTCTGGAACCAGTTCAGACCGGTTTTCTGGAAAGTGCTTTGTGTCTCCCGACTGAATCCTGGGAAAGGGTCATGTGTAGATCCAGTGATGTCATGGGATCACAAACTGACTCATCTCTCCTCCCCCTACCCCCATCAGTTATGTGTGTTTCTTGCAGGTAGGGTTTGGAGAGGCTTGGTCAGAAGCAGGCCTCCCCAGTGCATGTTCCCTCCTCCGAACTTAACTTTTTTTTTTTAAGCCCTTTTCCCTCAAGTCTCCCCAATTCCCACCTGATTCCTAAAGATCCGGAGCACGTTCAGAACAGACTTTATAGACTGTTGGGATGGGAAGAGTTACCCAGCTCTCCTAGTTTTTAAGGACGTTGCCGAATCAGGTGCCTTACTTTCAGCATCAGTCTAAAGTTGCCAGTTTTGGACCATGAAGAGTTGATGGGGTAGGAGAAAAGGAGCGCGTGCCCCCCCCCCAACCCTCTTCATAGGAAAGGCTTTTCACGGAGCCTTGGAGACTTCACAAGAAGTAAAACTTTAAAGAAAATCGGGTATCTAAAATGATAAGAAAAACAAACTTTGTTGATGGAAGCTCCCGATTTCCTATGGGAAGTTAGGCATGCTTGCACCTGTTTTTTTTCCCCCAACCGGTCTTAGCTTTTGATTATTTTATTTCCACAAAGAGCGTGATAGAGGGGGGATGTGAGTATAGGATCGGAGCAGAACAACTTGATTTGCCATATATGTGGTAAAGTATGGCACCCGGTTAGTGTACTTTTAACATATTCTCTCTCTCTCTCTCTCTCTCTCTCTCTCTCTCTCTCTCTCTCTCTCTCTCTCTCTCTCTCTCTCTCTCTCTCTCTCTCTCTCCCCCTCTCCCTCTCCCTCCTCTCTCTTTTCCCCCATTCCCTCCCTCTGTCTCTCTCTCACCCTTCCTCCCTCTATCTCTCTCTTCCTCCCTCTGTCTCTCTCTCTTCCCCATTCCCTCCCTCTCTCTCCCCCTCTCTCTGTGTCTCTTTTCCCCATTCCCTCCCTCCCTCTGTCTCTCACCCTTCCTCCCTCTATCTCTCTCTTCTTCCCTCTGTCTCTCTCTTTCCCTCTTCCCCTTTCTCTCTCTTCCCCATTCCCTCCCTCTTTCTCCCCCCTTTCTCTTCCCCCATTCCCCCCTCTCTCTTTTTCTTTCTCTTTCCCCCATCTCCTTGTGCTTCTTTTCCAGAGCACCATAATGACGGAGGAAGCTTGCAGGACACGAAGTCAGAAGCGAGCACTTGAACGGGAAATCACCCAAAACGACGTGGACTGTAAAAAGATGAAAATGGACAAGGGGCTTTTGGGCGGCCCTGAGGCCAACTCTGAAGGGGGGGACCTTAAGCTAAAGACTGAGTCTGGATCTAGTAGAGTCCAGGGATTATTAAAAGGAGGAGAGATGAAAGCAACCATCAGAGTGGAGGTTCAGACGGGAGATGAGCCGGTGGATATGAGCACCTCAAAAAGGTAAGCAATCATAAATGAGTTTTAGGGAACAAGTGGCCGTGCCTCTCATTCACTTGTCCAGACAATTAGGAGGGGAGGGTGCTGGGGGACAGAAAATGTCCTGGCATATAATAGAAACCCAAAGACAGGAAACTGCAGGATGCATCTGGTTCGTACGGTATCGGTGGAACTCCCTGCCACATTATTTTTGGCTAGATTGGTTTAATATTTGCTCCGCTACTGGGTTTAACAGTCCCGGTTCTTTAGAATTGTTTTTCCCCCAACAGCATTTCTTCTATAACTGCTTTGGCTTATGCAGTTAATCACGCACATGGACTCATGTCTGGCATGCGCACAATAGGAAACTTTGGAGAGAAATGAATGAGGACTAGGGTGTATCTGGAGAAAGGAAATACTGAATTGGAGCAGCAGGGGAACTACATGAGCGTTCTGGAGGAGATGGGAGGGTTGGTTGAAGAAGAGAACAGGAGGGCTTCTCATGGCTATTTGCTGATCCCAATGGCTGCACAGTGGAACTTCAGACATGGTTTGCGTTGGCATTTCAGAAGCTGAGGGACAAACAGGTTCGAGTATTGTTCTTGTGCTCGGAAAGTTTCCTGGGAGTTTCTGACTAGTTGTGCTGAAGAAAGTACTGGGCTTGATCTCCCAAATATCTAATTATAAATTGGCCTGCAAGGCCCTAAACCAGGGGTCTTCAAACTTGGCCCGTTTATGACTTGTAGGCTTCAGCTCCCAGAATTCCTCAGCCAGCGTACCCAATGCGATTTGTTTGTACCTAAGCTTCTGTGGTAAAATAGGGGGAAAAAATAGCGTAATTCAAGCAATGAGGAAATACTAACTACTTTTGCTTATTACCCTGAGTAGTTGCAGTTGCACACCTCTTCCTTGCCTTCTCCCCCCCCCCAAATTAATTTGTGCATTAACTTGATACCATTGCATGGTACACCTGCTCATTATGGGAGCTATAGGTGGTTCTCAACTTACAATCACAGTTGGGACCAGCATTCCGTTACTAAGCAAGAGGGCTGCTAACTGAATCACGCCCAATTTTGTATAAAACCTATTTTTAAATAGGTTGTTAAGGGAATCACTGCCGTTAAGTGAAGCACAGTCATTAAGCAAATCTGGATTCCCCTCCATTGACCTTGCTTGTCAAGCCAGCAGGGAAGGGTTCAAATTGTAGTCAAGGCATCCTAGCCCACTGCTACCGTCATAAATATATGTCAGTTACCAAGCACCCAATTTTTGACCACATGACTGTGGGGTTGCTGCTGCCGTCATAAGGGCAAGGACCAAACAAAAATAACGTTTTTGAGTGTTTTTCCACAAATTCAGACTTGAATTTGGCAACTGGTTCATAGTTATGACGGTTGCAACCTTCTGGCAAGCAAAACATCAATGGGGTAGCCAGATTCACTTCAGGACCTTGTTACTAATTTAACAATTGCAGTGATTCACTTCATTGTGGCAAGAAAAGTTGTAAAATGGGGCAGAGCTCACTTAACTGTAAATCACTCAAGGTGGCAACTAATCTTCCTTCCTCATGTTCGCCCCAAAAAAACAATCCTGTGAGGTGAGTTGGGCTGAGAGTCACAGCCTTCATGCCTAAGCCAGGACTAGAATTCACAGTTTCCTACTTTTCCAGGACTGTTGCTTTAATCACTAGCCCAGGGGTAGGCCACCTTGGCTCTTTTATGACTCGTGGACTTCAACTCCCAGAATTCCTGAGCCAGCCATGCTGAGGGGACAGGGAGAGGTTTCCAAGCTGAGCCATGCTGGCTCAGGAATTCTGGGAATTGAAGTCCACGTGTCACAAAAGAGCCAAGGTTGCCTACCCCTGGGCTAGACAGTCACTTGTCTAGATGGTATAGGCCAGGGGTAGGCAACCTGGGCTCTTTTATGACTCATGGACTTCAACTCCCAGAATTCCTGAGCCAGCCATGCTGAGGGGACAGGGAGAGGTTTCCAAGCTGAGCCATGCTGGCTCAGGAATTCTGGGAGTTGAAGTCCACGAGTCATAAAAGAGCCAAGGTTGCCTACCCCTGACCTAGTGACACTGAGTCGATGAATTTCAACCTGCCTTTTTCCCCTTTATCCTCATCTGATGCTTCTTTTAATATCACTCAAATGATAGTCAGCATTGTTGGCAGAAGATTCCATCATTTGCACCAATCCTGTAATCTAATTATCACTTTGTTTTAGGACTCTCTGAAAGTTTCAGTGATTCATTTAGAAGCTCTAAAGGCTTCGCATATTTTTTAGGGATCACTTCCTTAACACCCTGCTTGGCCCAGTAACATGCTGGCTCAGGAATTCTGGGAGTTGAAGTCCAGGAGTCATAAAAGAGCCAAGGTTGCCTACCCCGGTAAAGAGCATCACTGTGGACTGGAGATTTACAATTTGGTTTAAAATACCAAAATGTTTTGTAATGTGGAGGTTCCCAGAGAGCCAAGTAACACTAGATTCCAACTCCCCTGGGTGACTTGGACCCTAAACTCTCTGGCAGAAATCTTAAGAAGACAAACTGAGAATGACGGTTTGGAAGGGAACAGTGTATGGTGTCTTGAACTCCTCGGAAAAGCAATGGGATTTAAATGAAGACTAATTAATGAATTAATTAATAGACATTGACAAATGCACTGAGAGGTTCCACTCGATGCACTGAGAAAAGAAAATAAGACAATTCAAGTAGTTCTCGACTTAAGACCACAGTTGAGCCCAAAATTTCTGTGGCTAAATGAGAGAGATTTGGTAAGTGAGTTTCACCTCATTTTACAACCTTTCTTCCCACGATTGTTAAGTGAATCACTGCAGTTGTTACATTAGTAACCTGGTTGTTAAGTGAATCCGGCTTCCCCACTGACCTTGCTTGCCAGAAGGTTGCCAAAGGCGATCATGTGACCCTGGGACATTGCAGCCGTCATAAATATGAGTCAGTTTTGAAGTATATGAATTTTAATCACATATGGCCAAGGGGATGTTGCAATGGTCGTAAGTGTGAAAAACAGTCATAAGTCACTTTTCTAGTGCTGTTGTTAATTTTGATCAGTCATTAAATGAACTCCCTGTATTTTGGGGAGGGGTGAGAGGGTTTCAATTGAACGTTGGCAGAGAGCAGCACTTTTGGCAATTCAGAAACAAAAACATCTATTTGTAAAGTAATATTGAGTATTGGGGATGCCTGTATTGTTTGGACAGTTGCTGGTGTGGGTGATTTTCATCAAGTAAACTAAAGCCGAAGATATTTTATATTTTGGTAGATGTAAAAAATAGCAATTCACTCTAACTCTAAAAGACTATAAAGAGTGGTAATAACTTGATGTAGGCCACTGTCCTCTATGGGCACTGGGCACCGGTTCCATGAAGAGAGATTTTTCCACGGACCAGAGTGTGCATGGTTTTGTGTGCTGCCTACCTCCTGCGGATGGGGCTTTGCTTGTTTGTGCAGACTGGTTGATCGCATGCCCTGGCCCGGTACTGGTTCATGGACCAGGAGTTGGGGACCCCTGCTCTATAGTTTGTCTTGACCAGGGGTAGGTAACCTTGGCTCTTTTATGACTCGTGGACTTCAACTCCCAGAATTCCTGAGCCAGCATGGCTCAGCTTGGAAACCTCTCCCTTTCCCCTCAGCATGGCTGGCTCAGGAATTCTGGGAGTTGAAGTCCACGAGTCATAAAAGAGCCAAGGTATCCTACCCCTGGTCTTGACCATTGCACAAAGACCCATAGTGACCCCCATCTGGCAAGGCATTTGGTAAGGCCCACTGGGCCTCAAATTTATCTGTCTCCTCCCCCTTAACACCAGCACCAGCTGACACTTCAGTTTTTGGCAGGGGTGTTGCAACCATCAGCTTTCTAGCATACTTTTGATGGATTTACCTTGTGGCTGTGTTTTACGGCAATCTAATGAGCAAGGAGCCATTCTGGCTGGGAACTAAACGAACTGCAGTCCCAGCACATTTAAAGTGGGGAATCTGATGCTTGGGGATTAAGTTGGAAATTTCCTAGGTACAAAACATGCATTTCCTTGAGCCGTGCCAAGTATTGTAGGCCTCTACATAGTAATCTATTCATACAGTGTTGCCCGAAGAGGGGGAGCTTTTGAGGGGCCATACTGCCCAGTTATAAAAATGTTCAGGAATATAGCTAGTCCTCGACTTAACGACCACAATTGGGTTCATGCTTTTCTGTAGGAGATGACCAGAGTCCAAGGGAAGGGTCCAATGCGTCATAAGTCACGAGACCCTTGGCACCCGCCAGAGATCTAAGTCCAGCCCACCTTGAATGACTCTCTTACTTTTCTCCTCATTTCCCTTAATGGTCATTTGGCCTGATTCTTGTAGAGAGCTTAATCTTGCAATAAATCTTTATACTCATTTGAATTGCCTGAATCTCCTGGTTTCCCGGGCATTTTACATTTCCATTGCTAAGCAAAGTGTTTAAGTGAGTTGCACCCAATTTTACCACCTTTTTGCCACAGTCATTAAGCAAATAACTCTAGTTGCTAAATGAATCACAGATTCCTTACATGAATGTGGCCTCCTCCCCCTTTGTCAGAAGCCAAATGGGAAGGTTGCAAACGGCGATGACCTGAACCTGGAACATTACAGCCATTGCAAATACATACTGGTTGCCAAGCACCTGAATTTTGATCACATGACTATGGGGATGCTGCAGCAGTTGTAAGTGCGAGGACGAGGTGATAAGTCACTTTTTTTTTTTTAATGCTGTTAACTTTGAACAGTCACTAAATAAATCAGTGTTTCCCAAACTTGACAATTTTAAGGCATGTGGACTTCAACTCCCAGAATTCCACAGCCAGCAACGCTGGCTGTGGAATTCTGGGAGTTGAAGTCCACATGCCTTAAAATTGTCAAGTTTGAGAAACACTGAAATAAATGGCTGTCAAGGACCACCTGTATAGCTGCTTTTATTTCAACGTTTAACCTCAGGATAAAATAGTTGATGCAGATGTGGGACAACAAGCTCCTATTGGGGTCT